ACAAATCTTAAAATAATTTGTTCTAAGTCTCTGAAGAAAGTCCATGGTATTTTGATAGGGATTGCATTATACGTGTAAATTGCCCTGGGTAACATTGACATTTTCACAATATTAATTCTGCCAATCCATGAGCATGGAATATTCCGTTTCCCCCTTTAAATCTACCTTCACCTCACCCTGTAGCCTGGAGGCTGGCTTATACAGACTGAATCAACAGCCTTGTCTTGGTCTCTAAGTTCTCCTCAGAGGGAGGCTGGCAAAGCAGGAATAGGGAGGAGTGAAGCTAAAGTCTTTTGTCCTCAACTCCATCCCTAATCTCTTTGAAAGGGCCATTTTATATTCTGGAAGTCAGAGGTCAAAAGTCAGTGTTGCTGGGCTAACATCCAGGTTTGAGCAGGGCTGTGTTCCTTCTAGGGAAGAATCTGTTTCTTTGCTCTTTTCCAGCTTCTCGAGGCTGCCCACATTCTTTAGGCTCATGGTAACACATCACTCTGACCTCTGTTTCCTTTGTCATATCTCCTCTGCCTCTGTCTGTTCTTTATAAGAACCCTGTGATTACCATGGGGCCATATGGATAACATAGAATGATCTTCTCATTTTAAGATGCTTAACTGAATCACTTATTTAAGATACCTTGTGCCGGGGATCCCTGGGTGGCTCAGTGGTTTGGCGCCTGCCTTCGGCCCCGGGTGTGATCCTGGAGTCCTGGGATCGAGTCCCACATCAGGCTCCCTGCGTGGCAGCCTCCCTCTGCCTCTCTACCTCTCTCTCTCTCTCTGTGTGTCTCTCATGAATAAATAAATAAAATCTTTAAAAAAAATTAAGATACCTTGTGTCATGTAGGATAACATATTTACAAGTTCTGGGGATGAGGATATGCATATCTTTAGAAGAGGACATTATTCCATCTATCATATTTGTCAACTCTAGGTATATTTTTGCCTGAAATGAAGGAATGAATTAAAAAACCATAGGTGTTTTTCAGATTATTATATTAATGCAAGCTTGTTATAGAACATCTAGAAGCTTTAGGAAAGTAGAAAGAAACAATATTATTCTTAATCCTGGTCTCTTTTCTATGCATAATATGGGCTCTTTTTAAACAAACTGAGATCATTAAGTAAATGACTTTGGATGCTACCTTTTACATGTAACATATCGTAAGCAATGCCATGTCACTTAACTACTGGGATTTCCATTTTATTAAAAGAGTTTAAAGATGAGGAAGGATGCCAGAACTGATTTTTGGTTAAAATGGTAGGATCAGCAAGTGATTTTAAACTCAGTTTTAAAAATTTATTTATTTATTTATTTGAGAGCAAGAGTGAGAGAGCACAAGAACAAGGAATGGCAGAGGGAGCGGCAGAGAGAGAGAGGAAATGTAGGCTTCCCGTTAAGCAGGGAGCTTAACATGGGGGAGCAAGCTTTGATCCTAGGATCCCAGGATCAAGACCTGAGCTGAAAGCAGACGCTCAACCACTGAGCCACCCAGGTGCCCCTAGACTTAGTTTTCATATGTTTCTTTTTTCTTTTAGATATTTCAGATCAGCAGAGAAGTTATCTACAAATCACATTTCTTCCATGAATGTTCACCTCTTAACCAGAAACCCTCCAGCACCCACCTGTATTAGAGAATGTCCCGGCAAATATCTAGAGGAACTAACATACCCCAAAATGATCAAGCCAGGCCATTCAAATTTGCTCTTCAGTTACATTCACACTCTACACTCTACTCTACTCTGAAAATAACAATATTTTCAAATTACCAAGATTACCTAAGTGAATAGCACATGAAAATTAACACATAAACACATAATGTACACTCATTTTGGTGTGAGGAAAAAGACAAGAAAGGTAAAAATATATGTGAATCCATACAAGTCCATTGACTATTGAGGGTCTCCATCTTAAAATAGTCAATCAGCTTGAACTGAGCTTAAAATATCAGTTGTATCATAATCCAGTTTCCCACATATAGGGATTTTAAATGATCTGAGAGTATGAAGGAAGAATTATCTCCTCCTGCCTACTATGATTCCTGAGTTGATTCAGTAGCTTTACCTAGAATAGATTAATTAACTGCAACATTAAAAAACAAAACAAAACAAAACACCTGTTTAGACTATTATGAGTTAAGTTGAATGGGGTCAAGGGTGAGAGACTGACTCAAAGTTCTTAGGACTACAGGCAACCCAACCTTATGTGAGTATTGTTTGAAAAGCACAGTTATTTTAAATGTTGTCCATAAGAGTCCTGTATGTCAGATATGAACAACTGGGTAAAAAAAAATACTCTCCTTCAAGGAAAATAAATCCCAAAATATTGCTTAAGAATTACCACTGAAAGTAAGCAACCTAAAAAGTAAAAGAAATACCATTATTCAAGTATAATGAATATACTCTATTATGTCCCAGACGTTATGTTTTGATTATTATCTATTATTATTCTTTGTATTCTTGCATTCCAACTGAATTTCAACCTTTGCTCATACTAAGACAAGCCCTTAATTCATTATCTGAGCCCCATGCCAGGTCAAACACATTAAAACAAACACAGTAACACAAGTCAGAGATTGCAGCTAGGCTGTTTCATGTGTCTGGGCACTTAAACATGAGCAGGAATGATGCTAATGGATAAAAGTGTAAAATGACTGGGATGCATTTAACAATGATACCAGCAGATCTCAGACTTCAAAATGTGGCACCTTGCCCAAATTCTGCAAACCCTCCCACTCTTACAGGTCGGTCTTTAAACCTTTTGATTTTGATACACATTTCTTCAAGGCAAAACTAAATTCACAGCAGTGATTTGAATACTCACTTCCCAAATAAGTCCCCAACTCATTAAATACCACCTTTAAAAACCTTGCAAACATGATTTAGCTATTGTCTATCAAGTTTAGACGTTTCATTACCAGTTAGTTTATCCTACTATCATCCATATTTTAGTTTCCACCTTTCGCTAATGCAAAGGAAACCATCAGACAGTTCTCAGCTCTTCAAACAGCTGACAATACGAATCATGCCAGATATAAATATTTACATCATCAAAGTAAATGTTTCCAAAATTCCAAACTCCAATGCATTTGAAAATTGATTTGGATCAGGTACACTTTACTGAATTGGAAATATAAAAAAAAATCACTGTCAACAACAAAAAAATACCAAACCAAAACATTTGAGTGTTTTTTAACACCACACTATCCCCTCGTCTCTTCTTTTCCAATAAATTTTAGGGAGAAGCTGCCTCGAATTAATTATTTTTTTCTTTCACATCAATGTTTTCCTCTAAGATGGGCTGATGGAAAAGTGAGAATTATGTATTCATTATTTGTGTTACCTTGCCACTTTTCCCTACTATGTCCAGTGTACTCTTTATCTAAAAATGCTTTGATCACCTGCCATAACTCAGGAAAGATTCAGTTCCTTAACACAGTCTCTAGATTTGGCACCATCTTCCTTTTCCATCTTTACCTCCTACTTCCTCTTCTTGGTCTCTGTGTTTCAGGCTGGTTATCTTTCAGCTGATTTCTGGAACTCAGGTACCAACCCTCATTCTGCATTTTTACTGCTTCTCCCCTTTGTTTAGAATACAATTATTCCCTCCATTACCATCTCCAAGAAGGAAAGAATGATCGAAAAGTCAAAATTGCAACTTGCCCTTCCTGAATACTGGTCAGTGAACCTATGAACCTATCCATACTCATGACTTGAATGAGAGAGGTATATGTAGAACCTATGTTAAGCTTCCTTTAGAGTTTATAAAAATAAAACTTTAAATGGAACAATAATTTGGATAGGTTAATTTCTATGGAATCAGAACAATAAACTACATGACCTACATAGGATGTTTCTATAAAAATGCTTCTCAAGTCATATTGAAAATAGCACACAAACACTACATAGAGAAATAGTCTCAATTATGTGCAATGTCTTTTAAAATCTATCTTTTAAAAACTTTGTGACCTGAGTCAAACTTACTAACATCTCTTAGATAAGTCATTAGAATTTGGGTTTGGTTGTTTTTTTTGGTGATTTATGTAACAGGAAAAAATATATTCCAATATATCAGAAGGGGAAAAAATTACTTACAAACTCCATGGTAAGTAAGGCAAACAGACTGTGTAAGTACAAAGCAGAGCCCAAGAAATGCACATCCTGGAGAATCAGCTGCCAGCAGTAACAAAAGTTGTCCATAATTTTAATCCCAATTTCTTGGACACAAATGATTTTCCATCCCTCTTGAGTTTATAATAACTAAATCACCATCAAACACAATTTTCTGTGGGTGTGTATTTCCCACCTTCAACGAACTACTTAACAGTAAAAGGTAGTAAAAAAGAAATTAGCCCACAGGAGAAATGTTAGATCCCAGTGACAAGAAGACCCCACAGGTATTATGCCCTTTCACAAATTAATGAAAAGCACATCATGTGGGGAGGTGAGGGAAGGAGGGACGCTGGTGTGAGAATCACAAAACATAGCTCAGCATTCCTGTGCAGGAGCTAGGATTCTTAGCCAGCAAGATGCCCCTAGAAAGATTAATTATTGATTTTCTTATAAATCATCTAAGGTGGTTTTTGTTTGTTTTTCCTTCCGAGATGATAAATGTCTGATTTTACTTTTGTTAATTTTTTTCTACTTAGTTGAGGTTAAAAGAAGCCTCAGTAAAGAGATTTCTGAGAGGAGAGATTTTCCCAGCATGATATACTTGGGAAGCAACATTGCTTTCTGACCTTCAAAGGATACCAATGCATAGGGCCTCAGGCAACCTCCAGGGAGTACAAAGTAATTAGAAGCATGAGGGTTTGACTAGCTAGGGAGAGAAAGCAAAATTTAGACATAATTATATTTGTTGGCAGTAGGCCTGCGTGGTCTGTGATTTTACTCTTAGATGGAAAGAGAAACTCATAACAGAGATGGAGACCCGGAAGACTAGCTTTCAGAGTTAGCATCTCCTGGCGTCCTCAACTTCACAATGGAAGCAACATGGCTGCTTACCTTTCTGCCTCCAGTGTTGATGCGAAGGGGCGTCAGAAAGGGGTCGAAGATCATGTGACTGGTCTCTATGTTGACAGGTGACTGCCGTTTCCCCACAGAGCAAAGATTCCAAGCTGAGTTCACCAATCCCCAGAAAGAAGGAACTAGAAACAAAAAGAAATTGTAGAATTAGTATGGGTGGAAGGTTTGAGACACAGTGCAAAAAGAGCCATGACATGAAAGTGGTAACATCAGAGAGAGCCGTCCAGTGTTTCCCACCCATTGAGACCCTTTGAGTGTCACTAGGGTGTTTTTTTTTTGGCCTGGATCTTGGTCAATTTCTCTAAGTTTTACCTTCAGATTTTCTTGTTTCAGACCCACTCATCTTGTGGCCTCTTTGATGAGTACAGTTAGCATTAATGGCTTAATGGGAAGATGGCATAGTCCAACCCACACCATCCATTAAAGTACACCAAATATTGGTAATTCCTGAGCTGATGGTCAGTTTTCTATGTTGCAGGAATGTATGAGAATCACCCTTGTTCTATATAGAGGGTATTTAAAGCTTTTCAAAGAAAGTATCATTCAACATATATGAGGTATTATTCTGTGGGTTGTCAAAACCAAACTGAAGGAGTGAATGACTTTTATGACCCCCAATCAATGCCAGACAGGAGCTTGGCAAAATGACTTTGTCTTTGTTTAATCTAGCACTGTGTCATTAACCTAATGTATCAGCACAGCTCACAAATGCATTCATTTGATAGGCAGAAAAAAATGACATGGAGTGCTGGGTACAAATATCCAAAGAGGAATCATCTACCCATCTTCTGCATCACATTAAAACACCTATGAAAATAAATTTCTATGGGAATGTCTAGTTATCTTCTTTTTTTTTCATACTTTATTTTTTTTAATAAATTAATTTTTATTGGTGTTCAATTTACCAACTTACAGAATAACACCCAGTGCTCATCCCGTCAAGTGTCCCCCTCCGTGCCCATCACCCATTCACCCCCACCCCCCGCCCTCCTCCCCTTCCACCACCCCTAGTTCATTTCCCAGAGTTAGAAGTCTTTATGTTCTGTCTCTCTTTCTGATATTTCCCACACATTTCTTCTCCCTTCCCTTATATTCCCCTTCACTATTATTCATATTTTCCCCAAATGAATGAGAACATACACTGTTTGTCCTTCTCCAATTGACTTACTTCACTCAGCATAAAGTTATCTTCTTCTGTTTAAGAAAGTCAGAATGGGGGCGGGGGGCAATTACCGATTTCATGTCAGTGAAGATCACAGACTATAACTTCAGCCCTTTCCTGCCTCCTCCCTCAGTATTTTCAAGGCTCTGAATCCATGTGTCCAATATACAGCCCTGAGATTTTACAGTCATCATTCACTCATCCATTGACAGTGTCCAAGAATAGTACAATGAGCTTCTATTGCATGTCCAGCCCTTAGTTAGGCTGAATTTCAAGGAAGGCAGATATGTACAAGTATAATTACCACACTGAGGGGGAATGGGAGTGGAAGGTTACCGAATGAGGTGAGTGGGTTATGAATCTTTAGGGGAGGGGCACTGAACCCTGACGCAGTAGAAGTGGAGTTAGAGAGTGACTTCTGGAGAAGATGAACCTAACAATCAAGTCACAACCCTTCCAAATGCATCTGTCCTCTCAGGAACTCAAATTCATTCATTCATTCATTCATTCATTCATTTTTTATTATTTTTTAAAGATTATTTTTATTTATTCATGAAAGACACACAGGGAGAGGCAGAGACATAGGCAGAGGGAGAAGTAGGCTCCTCATGGGGAGCCTGATATGGGACTCAACCCCAGGATCACAACCTGAGTGGAAGGCAGATGATCAACCACTGAATCACTCAGGTACCCCAGGAATTCAAATTTAATTCAGTCTTTACAGCAGCCATCATTCCTTTTCATGTCACAGATGGAGAAAATTGAAGCAAGAGAGGAGAATGGCAAATAATTGCCAAAGATAAAAGACCTGTAATTCAGGAGAAAAATCGGACTGGATGGAATGTCTAGTACCATTAAAATCCAAGATTCTATCAACCTTTTATTTATTATAGTCTGTTGTTGGGTAGAAGTGGGAAGAAAACCAAAAACAAGTTCCTCAGAATCTGAGAAGAATGTTTCAACACCAAAATAAAGTGGGCTTCCTTGTGAAATACGGCACATACTCTATTTGGCTTAACCCATGGCAAAAAGCCCATTGGGTGGTGCCATTCCTTTTCGTTTGAAGAGTTTGAATTAGTTTTCCAGCTATAACTGATTTTCAAAATGGCAGCCATGGGCAGAGTAATAAAGACATAAAGAGAAGCAGGGGTAGGGGGTGGGAAGAAAGAAGAGAAGGACCTATAGATCCTTGGCACTTTAATTTCTCATGACTATTTAAGTTATGTTACCACTGCAAGTCACTTAACATCTTTAGAAGGTATTATGCCCTAGCCAAATTATAATATTTAAGGAAGCTCTTGAATTAAACATGTATTTTAAAAAATATAAACTCTGTCTTCTCTAAACTGCTATTTTTAAATCACTGACATTCCTATACTTATTCCTCAATCATTTCCAGTTTATTATGAAAATAAAGCCTCCTTCAGGGCCTGCTCCTACCCATCTTTGTCAGTGATGCACATAAATGTGGCAGATGTGAGGATGCCATGGATATAGCCATGGCACTGTCACAGATTAGCTGTGTGACTTGATAAATCATTTATCTTTTGGGCTTTGGTTGGTCTCTATGGCCTGTGTAGTGAGCTGAATAATGGTCCTCCTTCAAAGATGTGCACATCCTAGTGTTACCTTCCATGGTACATGGTACTGTGCAGAAATGATTAAGCTAAGGATATTGACATGAATAGATTATCCTTGATTGTCTGGGTCACCCCAATGTAGTCATAAGGGTCCTTTTTTAAGAGAGAAGGGTAGGAGGGTCAGAGACATAGATCCAAGGATGGAAAGAGAGAACAGAAGATCCTGGCATTGAAGAGGGAGGAAGGGGATAGAAGCCAAGATGACTTCTAGAAGCTGGAATGCATGAAACAACAAATTCTCCTCCTAGAACCTCCAGAAGGAACACTGGTATTCTGTCCCTGATTTAAATCCCCCAAGATTCATTTTGAGCTTCTCACCCCCAAAACCTAAGACAATAAATCTGTGTTAAGTCACTAAGTTGTAGTTACTTGTTAGAGCCACAACAGGAAACGTGAGACCATCACTTCTTTGAGAGTCTAGCCATTTATGATGTCTGGGGGGCTTTCCCCAGAAGGCAGCTGCACCATAAATGTAGTTAGAGCTAGTGCAGATTGCATTTCATCTAGTCTCATGAAAATCATTACCAAAAATAATTCCAACCCAATAAATGGGTTGCAAGACTGCTAATATATGGCAACACGGGTAGGCAGATGCTGTTGTACCTTACTAATAAACTTCACACCCCAGAAGCACCCCCACAAAAACACAAACAACAAAAACTTTATGTGAACATCTGCCTTTGCTTTTATTGGGCATGGCATTCTTTATGACAAACAGTTTCAGGGTTTTATATTCCCACTTCACTATCAAGGCCTATATGTCTGGTTCCAACCACCCGCTCAGACAATGGAGGAATAGCTGAGAGGCACTCGCCCCTGTTCATTGGCTCCATTCCTGAAGGGGTATCCAAGTGTGCTCACTACTGGACTGCTCATTTTTAAATCAGCCGCGAATTAACTGTCTTTCAGTAATAGAAGTTACTGCGAAATCACCTGGCCTAAACACACACATGATGTTAAGGCCTTCGTGGCAGATGGTAAAGGCCTCAAGCCGAGGCCACACAGCCAGGGAGAGGCAGCAGGAAACAGTAAGGACCACCACCCACGTCTCAAGATTCCATGTCCGCTCAGCTTCCTTTCCTTCCCAGCAGGCTCCATGCGAAGGCAGATTATTGTAGCCAAGGAGTTTCAGAGTTAAGCGTGGCCATGGCCATTGTAAGACTGCTCCTGTTTCTCTTCTGGTAAATCAAAAGTAACATTGGTGCCTATTGTCCAAGCTAAAATAAATTTCAAGTGCAAAGGTTCAAACCAAACTACCCTGAACGTCAACCACGGCAAATAAGATCAGGGTTTTTATTTTATTTTATTTTAAATATTCTATTTATTTATTCATGAGACACACACATGCACACACACGGGGAGAGAGAATGAGGACACAGAGAGAGAGGCAGAGATATAGGCAGAGGGAGAAGCAGGCTCCAAGCAGGGAGCCCGACATGGAACTCGATCACAGGTCTCCAGGATCATGCCCTGGGCTGAAGGTGGCGCTAAACCACTGAGCCACCAGGACTGCCCAAAATTAGGGTTTTTAAAAAGCCATTCAACAATGGCTGGCTATATTAGCTAAAAAGGCACCAATCCAGGCAAGAGAGGATGTTCTTGGGTCTCCTCTGCAGGACCCCTTAGGAGATCTAATGGGGATGACTGTTTAGGAAGAGCGGCTCCAGGGAGGGGTTGCATCCTGGGGCCAGCTGGGCTGGACAAGGTGCTAGTCCCTATGAAAGAAGCCAAGGCTCTTGTAATCCATGTTAAGTGTTGGGAAGATGAAGAAGGTGTCAAAATTAGTCTAGGGAACTTAGGTGCCAAAAGGACCAGACTCATATGTCTGCAAATGTGGTGTCATCTAGGTTCTAGGGAAATGCATTAATTAGGAGGAAGCCTCTGGAAGCAGGAGGGCATTGGAGACTCTATATTTCTTGTATCATGGGAGTGAGCCAGCAGATTTTAGCTGCAGAGTGAGGCTGGATGCATGAACTAAGGCTTCAAGATTTAGAGGAAGAAACTTTCCCACCTAATTGGTGCAAAACATCATCTCCAGGACTCTGACACTTAACCATTCTCCATACTATTGATCCTTCAGGTTGATAAACATATCTCATGTCATCCCTCATAGGTGGCACTGTACAATGCTATGGCACTGCTTCTATTTCCAAATTTTGAGAACCACTGTTGAGTTACTTTTGTCTTAATTGGGACATGAGTGTCCCAATAAGTCAAAATTTTAAGCCCTCTGCCGTTTTTTAAAAGTACCGGTTATTATGGCTTATTGGCTTTTGCTGTGTCTTTTTCTTGGTTGACTGGTACAACTTATTGTTAAGTA